AGCCACTGCGGAATCCAGACCCATCGGCTCCTCAAGGACTTAATCTCGCCCAAACTAACGAAGGACGAGTCATACAGCTCCTTAGTCCAGGCCCTGACCGACCACCTGGCTCCCAAACCCACGAAGTACGTGGAGCGGTTGGACTTCTTCGCAAGAGTTCAGGCCTCCGGCGAAACCACCTCCGATTTTCTGGCGGCGCTGCGGAGCCTGGCGACCCGATGCTCCTTCCCCAGCCTCGACGATACCCTCCTGAACCAGTTCCTCGTCGGACTCCGGGAGCCGAAGCTGCAGAGGAAACTGGTGAGCCAGAACGATCTGAGCCTGGACAAGGCCATCCGGGAGGCCTCAGCATACGAACAAGCGCGACAAGACCGCCGCGCCAAGGCGGTCCACCGTACCCAAGTGAGCAGCGGCTCCGACGTCTCGGACCAAGAGGAAGTCCTACAACTCCGACAGCGGACTCAGCAGCGATCAAAACACGTATCCTCCAGGACCTCCAAGGCCCCGTCTCCAAGTCAGTGCGCCAGCTGCGGGGAGGATCACGAACGCAGGTCGTGCCGTTTCCGGAATGCGGTCTGCCGTTCCTGCAACAAGGCAGGACACATCGCCAAGGTCTGCCGGTCCAAGGGACAACGACCGAGATCGGCCACCCACCAGACCACCGCGGAACTGCCCCTGGAGCTCCACACCGTGTCGTCCCACTTTCCACAGCACCAGGTCTGTAACCTGCCCCCCGACGGCCCAAATAAAATGCATGTGACGGTCCTCATAGAGGGAGCCCCCTGCACCATGGAGATCGACACCGGGTCGACCTACTCCATAATATCCGCGGACACGCTCCGTGCACTGTGTCCTCGGGGGGGGCCACCACTACAGAAGTCACGGGGTTTCCGGTTACGGGACTTTAACAAAAACCCCGTGGCGGTGGTGGGCTGGGGCAAGTTCCGGGTCCAGTTTCAGGGTTTCAAGGGCCAACTGGACCTACTGGTTGTGGACCGGCCCCTCTCCAGCTTGTTGGGACTGGCCTGGTTCAAGGCCCTGGGGCTCTCCGTTACGGGCATCAACCAGGTTGGAGCGCAGGATTTCGGGGCGGTGTGCGCAGAATTTCCCCGCATCTTCGATGGGACCCTGGGGCGGTACACGGGCCCTGCCATTTCCCTGGACCTAGACCCCGCGATACGCCCCATCCGCATCAGGGCCCGGCTGCCCCCGATCTCCATGAGGCCGAAGGTGGAGGCCGAGCTCGATCGCCTAGTTGAGCAAGGCGTGCTAGAACCGGTGGCGTCGGCCCGGTGGGAGACCCCCATTGTCACACCACTCAAGCCGAACGGGGACGTCCGCATCTGCGCGGACTATAAATGCACCATAAACAAAGCCCTGCAGCCCCACGCGTACCCGGTGCCGGTAGTAAGCCAAGTGCTGGCAGCCCTGGCAGGGGCTCGGGTGTTCGGCAAACTGGACTTGGCCCAGGCGTACCAGCAGCTACCGGTGGACGCCGCCACGGCCGAGGCACAGACCATTGCGACCCACAAAGGGGCCTTCAAGGTGCACCGCCTCCAGTTCGGGGTCTCAGTCGCGCCGGGGATCTTTCAATCTTTTATGGATTCCCTCCTTAAAGGCATCCCCGGAGTTCAGCCGTTTCTAGACGACGTGCTGATCGCCGCGCCAGACCCCTCGTCCTTCGCAGACCGTCTGAGGGCCGTTTTACAACGCTTCGACGCGGCGGGCCTCAAGGTGAAACGGGAGAAGTGCCTACTGGGGGTGCCGCGGGTGGAGTTTCTGGGCTTCGCGGTGGACGCCGCCGGCCTGCACCCCTCCCAGGACAAGGTAGAAGCCATCACACACGCCCCGGCCCCGAAGTCCAAAACGGAGCTACAGGCGTTCCTAGGCCTGGTGAACTTCTACCACTCCTTTTTGCCCCTGAAGGCGGCCGTCGCGGAGCCGCTCCACCGCCTCCTCGACAAGTCGGCGCAATGGGCCTGGGGGCCACCACACGACGCAGCTTTCCAAACAATAAAGGACCTCCTGGTCTCTAATGCGGTCCTCGCCCATTTTGACGAGGCCCTTCCCGTGGTACTGGCGTGCGACGCTTCCCCCTATGGGGTCGGGGCGGTCCTGGGGCACAGACTACCGGATGGTCGCGAGGTCCCGGTGGCCTACTACTCGCGGACACTGTCGTCGGCCGAGCGCAACTACGCGCAGATCGACAAGGAGGCGTTGGCAATCGTGGCAGGGGTGAAAAAATTTCACCACTACTTGTACGGCCCCTGCTGGGCCTCCTCGCACCCGACCGGCAGACACCGCAGATAACCTCGCCCAGGGTGCTACGCTGGTCCATCTTCCTGGCGGGGTATGCGTACGACCTCGTCCATCGGCCCGGAAAGGCGATGGGCCACGCCGACGCACTGAGCCGCCTGCCCCTTCTGGGGGCCTCCGCACGCCGCGGCTTTCCAAACAATAAAGGACCTCCTGGTCTCTAATGCGGTCCTCGCCCATTTTGACGAGGCCCTTCCCGTGGTGCTGGCGTGCGACGCTTCTCCCTATGGGGTCGGGGCGGTCCTGGGGCACAGACTACCGGATGGTCGCGAGGTCCCGGTGGCCTACTACTCGCGGACACTGTCGTCGGCCGAGCGCAACTACGCGCAGATCGACAAGGAGGCGTTGGCAATCGTGGCAGGGGTGAAAAAATTTCACCACTACTTGTACGGCCGTCCGTTCACGATCCTGACGGACCACAAGCCCCTGCTGGGCCTCCTCGCACCCGACCGGCAGACACCGCAGATAACCTCGCCCAGGGTGCTACGCTGGTCCATCTTCCTGGCGGGGTATGCGTACGACCTCGTCCATCGGCCCGGACAGGCGATGGGCCACGCTGACGCTCTGAGCCGCCTGCCCCTCCCCAAGTGCGACCCGGACCCGGCCCCCGCGCTCCTGGTCGCGAGCCTGGAAGCCCTCACGGACCAGCCGGTCCATGTTTCGGAGGTGGCACGCTGTACCTCCAAGGACAAGACATTGGGGAGGGTCTTGGACTGGGTGGTGAGGGGGTGGCCCGAGGCCAAAGGAGACCAGGACATCGCCCCGTTCGCCACCCGGAAACACGAACTCTCAACCCACAAGGGGTGCTTGCTGTGGGGAAGCCGGGTGGTCATCCCCTCGCCTTTAAGGGAACGGGTACTCACCGCCCTGCACGAGACACACCCCGGGGTGGTGCGGATGAAAGCCCTGGCCAGGAGCTATGTGTGGTGGCCAGGACTGGACGCGGACATTGAAGGGGTGGTCAAGAGGTGCCAGCCCTGCCAAGCCTCGCGGCCGGAACCACCCCGAGCGCCCGAGAGGGCCTGGGAATCCTCCCACCGTCCCTGGTCCCGCCTCCATCTGGACTTTGCTGGACCCTTCCAGGGCAAGCTGTTCTTCATCCTGGTGGACGCATACAGCAAGTGGCTGGAAGTGGTCCCCGTGCCCTCCACATCCTCGCAGGCCGCAATCCGGGCCATGTGGAGGATCTTCAGCGGCCAAGGGATCCCCGACACGCTGGTCACGGACAATGGAACCGCGTTCACCTCGGCCGAGTTCCAGGCTTTCACCAGGTACTACGGGATCCGCCACGTCCGATCCGCCCCGTTCCACCCTGCCACGAATGGCCAGGCGGAGCGCATGGTGCGCACCACAAAGGACGCACTTCGCCGACTGGACTCCACCGATTGGGACTATAAACTAGCAGCCTTTCTCTTCGGACAGCGTACCACGCCACACACCACGACCGGCCGCTCCCCGGCCGAACTACTGCTGGGCCGCCGCCTGGCCTCCCGACTGGATCGGTTACACCCAGACCGAGCAACCCCGGAGGCCCCGGGCACCGAGACGTACGAGTCGGCCAGAGGGTTCTTTCCAGAGGACCCGGTGTACGCACGAAACTACGGCCGGGGGCCCCGATGGATCCCGGCCCGAGTTGTACGGGTCAAGGGCCCCCGTTCGTACGAGGTCTCCAGCGAGGATGGCCAGATCCTCCACCGGCACATAGATCAGCTGCGCCGTCGCACGCTACAGCTGGACCCTGAGGATCCGGACGAGGACCCAGAGCCTGCCACATCGGCCCCACTCCCGGCACCGGATCCACAGCCGCCTCTCCGTGAGGAACCCGAGGCACCTCACACCGTGGTGCCAGCCTGTCCTGCCTCCTCGGCGCCCCCGTCGGCCCCAGGCCCCTCGGCTCCCAGGGCCCCCGAGACCGAACCCATCGCTACCCCGGAGCCCCGACGCTCGACGCGCCCCAAGAAGCCACCCGCCTACTTGAAGGACTTCGTCTGTGGGTGCCTTCTGAACCAAGGGGGGAGGGGTGTAATGTATTCAGCCTGACATGCCCGGACTTGCCCGGGCTGGCCAGGCACAACTCTTCAATAGCTTCATGTCCAAAGACAATGGGTCCGTAGGATCCTAGCCGGCCCAATCAAAGGGCCAGCTTCTCAGCCGGGAGACCAATGGTCGCCCGGTTACTGTAAATAGCCTATCGGGAGTAGGGGGTGTGTTTAGGGTACTTGGTGGCGGGTTTTCTGAACATATATAACCAGCCTGCGAGCTGGTCCCTTCGTCTTTGTCCTGAACCTAATAAAGGTATGCTTAGCTGAAATCACTCTCCGTCTGCATACTTTTCACTGACCTTGACAGATCAATGGTATGACTCAGTTATCATGCAGCTTCCTAAGGTCTGATCTGCGAGGGCTGATCCTCTCCATATTACCTCACATAACTTGAGGTATCCACCTTGATTCTGCTCCAGCTTCACTCACCACAGCTCCTGTCATCCTCACTTTCCTCACCCTCCTTAAAGGACCCTGTTTCCACCACAGGGTTTATAAGCAAGGCTTAATAGCTGTGCCCGCCCACAGTGATAGGACACATGGAATGCAGTATCCCATTTTGGGACGTCCCCGCCTTTCAGGACAGGGCTGGGTTACAGCAATATAAATCTCTGAGTACGGAGGAGGGAGCGGCATAATTCCTTTACTCCAGCAGAGTTAGTGAGGGGAAAGGCAGAGCTGCTGCCCACTGTAGGCCTCCAGGATGAGCGGTGGTGGCCAGGGGCATTGGCCCCTCCTCGGCATGACCTCTGTGGTCCTGATTCTGTGTTTCCATCTGCCAGGTAAGTTGTGGGGCTGGAGGGCTTCACCATTCATGTAACAGGTTGACCTTTTCAGTACTGCTCTGGGGGACTGAGATGCTATCGTGACATCACGTCACCTCCACCGATGGGATGCTTTTGCCTTCTGTGATGCTAAAGTATTAGGGTTGTATGGCTTTAAAAATGGTATGTGAGTATACATATGTGTGTGCTGATCTGGATGGCCCAAGCTGGCCTTATTACATCAGATCCTGGAAAGTAAGCAGGGTCTGCTCTGGTTAGTGCTGGGATAGGAGACCACCAAGAAAGTCCTGGGATTACCACACAGAGGCAGCCAATGGCAAACCACCTCTGAACATCTCTTGCCTTGAAAACCCGACAGGGTTGCCATGAGATAGCTCCAACTTGATGGCACTTCTCACCCCCATGCATATGTTTATATGTGTATGAAGCTGGTTTGTGGGACAAGTATCCAAGTTCGAATATTACAAAACAGAAATTTTCAAATGTTCAAGTTTGAATATTACAAAACTAGGTTGGGCTCTCCGAATGAATCCTTCTGCCTGCCTATATGTGGGAACAATTCTAGCAAAGCTCGATGAATAAGGACTGGAAAGTGTTTTGCACAGCTGATATGCTGCATTAAAAAAACCCATCATGATGAGTGGTAAAGAGGGGAGAAGCAGGTACGATTCACAGCAATGTAGAAGTCACTTCCCTGAGCCTTAATTACTGCTAGCTGCCGATCCAGCCAGGCATATTCTGTACAGACTAGAGAAGGGATTCCTTTGGTGGTGCAAAGGCTTTATGTTGGGTGGATGGGAAAGAGGTCGCTGCTAAGCAAGGGGTGGAGCAGAGTGGACTAGGATCTCCAAGGTCACACTCGGGTGGGTCAGATCCATTATGGAACGGAGGCAGAGTTTGGAACAGCCAAGCGATGATGGCAGAGATGGAAGCCTATTGGGGCATATTTATTTATTTAGGCATTCATATCCTGTTTTTCTTTGCAAAGGGGGACCCCTTACAACATTCTGCCTGCCTCGTTTTGCCCTCACATTTTTGTGAGATAGGTTCAGCGGAGAGTGAATGGCCCAAGGTCTGCCCAGTGAGCTTCTGTGGAAAGAATGGGGATTTGAACTCGGGTCTCCCAGATCTCACACTCTAACTACTACTTCGTGCTATGGAATCAGCAGCCCAGAGCCTTGGATGGCAGAGAAAGTTCAGATGTAGTGATAAGCCCAGGGTTTGCTGCTAATAACCACATAATCGAATGGGATCCGTGGACTCACACCTCCCCTCCTGCCTTCTCTCTCTGTGTGGCCAGCTAATTTGTTATTTCCACATCTGACCAAATTGGCAAACTGGTATCCCTGCGAACCAAAAGGGCTAAGCTAAACAATATATATATATATATATATATATAAAGGTGTACACATGTTAAAACTTATACTGATTAAAAAAATTTTTATGTCTGCGTTCAGACTTACAAAAGCTTATCCACTACTAATACATAGGATGGCTAAACACTTTCCAACTGAAGACCAAACGTGTTTCGGCCCCTAAGGGCCTTCCTCAGTGGTCACTATTATCAATATATTATAGACACACATTCATAGACCTATTACAGGGTTTTAGCACACATATATTAAAACCAGATGTTGTTTCCTTGTATACTTATAATTGTACTCCTGGTATTAGTGATGGGCCATAGGTATAGCCATATCACCTCCACAAATTATTCTGGTAACAGCGATTTCATAGGTCTGAATGTGTGATGGAGGAACACACATTCAGACCCTTAGGGGCCAAAACGCGTTTGGTTTTCAGTTGGAAAGTGATTACCCATCATATGTATTAGTAGTGGATAACCTTTTATAAGTCTGAACGTAGACAAAATTTTTTTTAAATCAGTATAAGTTTTAACATGTGTACACCTTAATAAATATTTGTACACACACACACACACACACACACATATATATATATTGTTTAGCTTAGCCCTTTTGTTTAGCTTAGCCCTTTTGGTTCGCAGTCGTATCTTGGGTTGAGTCCCCCCCCCCTTTTTCCCCCAGTTTTTGACACAAATCAGTTCATCGCACCTGCTGATGCGACCTTGGGTCAGTCACAAGCTCTGGCACAACTGTCCTTGAAAAAGAGCAGTTTGTGTCAGAGTTCTCTCAGCCCCACCCACCTCACAGGGTGTCTGTTGTGGGGAGGGGAAGGGAAAGGAGTTTGTAAGCCACTCTGAGACTCCAAGTGAAGGGCGGGGTATAAAGCCAATCTCTTCTTCTTCTTCATGGGGCTAGGTGACCCTGAATACGCCTATCCTCCACGGATTTGTCTGGTCCCCTTCTAGGGCCATCTTCGCATGTGTGGAACCACCCCTCCGTTCCCCAGCCCTCCCCCCAAATCTTACAGGCTCTGGGAACTTGGGAGGCAGACGGCAGGGAACGGGTCTGTCCAGCTTCCGGGGGCTGTCCGCGCGGGGACCCGCGCGTACCCTACGACGGCTCGTGCTCGGCAAGGACCTCACACCGCCCATGACGAGGGGCGTGCCGCACGGAAGCTGGCTGCCATTTTTGTCCCCGGATCGGTGCGCTTCCCTGGCTCCACCTTTTCCCCTGCCTCCCGCCCTACCACGGGGCCGCGGCCAGGAGGAAGCAGTCGCCTCTTCCTCCTGGCCCTGAGCGCCCAGGGTGGCTGGCTGGCCGCCGGACGGAGGCGGGGGGGTGGAGAAAGCCAGGGAGGGACCGATCCTTAGCAGCAGCTGATGAGGTCACAAGCAAGCTCTGTTTGGCAGGTCTGGAGGTAGCAGCTGAGCCAACAAGGTCGGGCTGGGCAAAGTTTGCCCAGGGCGCCTTCTCTGATCTCGGGCACGGCGCCGCGGCCGAGGGAGAAGGTCTCGGCACCCTGGCAGGGCAGAGCACCCGAGGAGAACCAGATGTTTGCTGTTCCCCCTGCACCTCCCCCTCCAACGGCACAGTCCCGACCCCCCTTTCCCAATAGGATGGTCCACACATTCTGATGTGAGCCGGCACATGTCACAATGCCCTGGGAGAGACACGCGCTCATTGGCTAGCTCTGCTCTTAGGTGGAGTGGTGAACTAAATGCTCCTAGGGTGTAACAGGCTACCATCCTCCTGTCTGCTGAATGAGAGTCCCCGCCCCCCGCGCATAGAAGCCAACTTCATAGACCCTGCCTAGGGAAGCAAAGCCCAGGTTCAAAATCCAAGCGGCCGGGAAAAACGTGATTACATTAAACTTTTGCAATCCGCTCCCTCAGAGATGGAGCGACACCCGCCGGCAAAGATGGGTTTTAAAAGGGTGAGACCCATGCGCCCTCTAAGCTGTGGAGTCTTGTGAGCAAAAAAAAATCTACTTTGTGAGCTACTGGCGTTAAAGTTGTGAGCGAGCGATTTGGCTGCTGCATAAAATAGCCTGCTCTGGAGGCCTCCTTCCCAAGCGGAGACAAAAACGTGTGAGCTGGAGGCTAAAAAACTGTGAGCTAGCTCACACTAACTCAGCTTAGAGGGAACAGTGAGCCCCACCCATCTTTTGTTCACCACAGCATTCAAAGGTCCAGCTTTTACAAAATCCCATGGGCACAGAGGAGGGGTCACTAGAAGAGTAGGAGAGGGGAGGCATTTGTGAATTTCCTGCATTGTGCAGGGGGTTGCACTAGATGACCCCATGGGGTGCCTTCCAGCTCTATGTTTCTACGATTGGAGTTCAAGCATTTAAAGGACATCATCAACACTGTCCTAAGTTTCACAGAGCCTCCATCTTCAGGGGCAGTTCCCTACCAAGCCCAGGAGGCTGGGGACAAGCGGAAGACGATGGCCGTCATCTTTTTGCCCTGCTGGAGAGCTACTGGGGCCAGCTGCTAGAGAGCCAGTTTTGGTGTCGGGGTTAAGCGCGCGGACTCTAATCTGGGAGAACCAGGTTTGATTCCCCACTCCTCTGCTTGCAGCTGCTGGATGACCTGGGGCAAGCCATAGTTCTGTCACAGCTATTCTCTCAAGGGCAGTTCTGGAAAGAGCTCTCTCAGCCCCACCTACCTCACAGGGTGTCTGTTGTGGGAAGGGGGAAGGAAAGGAGATTGTAAGCCACTCTGAGGCTCTGAGTGAAGGGCGGGGTATAAATCCCACCTCTTATTCTCTTCTAGTGGTTAGGAACACGGACTCTAATCTGGGAAAACCGGGTTTGATTCCCCACTCCTCCACTTGCAGCTGCTGGATGACCTGGGGCAAGCCATAGTTCTCTCAGAGCTGTTCTTGAAGAAAGAGCAGTTCTGGAAAGAGCCCTCTCAGCCCCACCTACCTCAGAGGGTGTCTGTTGTGGGGAGGGGAAGGGAAAGGAGTTTGTAAGCCAATTCTAAGACTCTGAGTGAAGAGCGGGGGATAAATCCCATCTCTTCTCTTCTTCTTCTTCTTTTGGTTCGCAGTCCTATCTTGGATTGAGTTCCCCCCCCCCCCTGCCTTTTTCCAGTGTTTGTCAAACTGGTATCCCCACAGACCGATGATTCCATAACTGAATCAAGACACTGAAATCCCAGTTTCCAAGACAAGCATAAAGCAACGTTCACCAGCTTGGACAAACTGGCAAACTATAGTTTGCCATGAATCTGGAAATAACTCATTACCTGGCTGTGCATGATGGGAGGAGGCGGGGGGAACAAAGGAGCCCGGGGATCCCTCAGCAGGCCCATAGCCAGGATTTTTTATCGGGGGGGTGCTCTGGGGTTCGGGGGCGCTGCTGGTGCTGGGGGGGGCTTAATTAAAAATAAAACTTTAAACCCCATGAGCGTTTAAATGCTCCTCCCGTCTCTTCCCCCCGCCAGCCAGCTGAGCAGAGGGGGTTGATCCAATGGAGTAATTGTGCCGCTGTTGCAGTGCAACTCCAGAGAGTTGCTCACCTGGCTGGTGGGGTAAAAGAAGGGGCAAATGTGTGGCCTCTGTTGCTGGTAGGGTTGCCAGCCTCCAGGTGGGGCCTGGGGACCTCCCGCTTTTACAACTGATCTC